GTGCGGCAGCAGGAAATTCGTGCGCCAGGGGGTATGTAGCCGATTCAGGGGGGTGGGGGGTGAGGGCAGCCACATGACATGCGTGAGAAGCTGGGATGTTCCGTGAGAAGCTCGATGAGCAGTTCGTCGCACACGTGCCATGTTTTTATCGGGACGAAAATGTCGAATCTTATTATCCACTCCTCTGTATGCTTTCATACCTTAGTAGCACAATGAAGAACCTCAAAAGCTACTTTTTACAAAGAGAAACACCCACTTACAACGTGCACTTTTAGAACTGTTCCTAATTGTTGCTCTGTTCTTGTTAGTGTGGAGCGAACATATTTGAGCTCCCTTAGGGAGACAGCAGAGATCGCTCCTCATAATCGTATGATATGTGGTGAGTGCCACAATGAAGTTTTCGTAGCGATGCAACAGCAATAGGTACTATCAATTTGACTCATACCCGAGTTAACTGCTGAATCAGAAGTCAGAGAAAAAAGAGCAAAAACGGGACAACTTAGCGGGAACTATCCTTCACTAATTGCAATTTTCATTTGCATTTCCGTTGAAGAGCTGCATGAACTAGTCAACCATCTTTCCGAGAACGATAAAAAAAGAGCTTCTAATTACGTGGCTGGGCGACATCTATGAGGACTGACGTTTTCTGGTCCAGAAAGTACCGCGCAGTTACCAAACAGGCGAAAATGTATGTGTTTGATAATAGGGCGCTAAAAAGCGGTTCCATTACGCTCGCAAAAAATTAGATTTTCCATGAAATTTTCTTATCCACTCATAACGATCACTGAATAATATTACGAGAATACCTCAAGGGCTCCCCCTACTTTCTCCACGATTTGAGGCGCCCGCATTGCGGATGCCTATGTCGTCAAGTGCAACGTAGATTGTGTGCGCGCGCCGATGATGCATCTCATTTGACGCGAGCGAGCAAGACGAGAGACCGGATAGTGCGAATTATGGGGATTTTTATCTATTTTTTGCAGGGCTCTCTTCACAATCCAGAATCGCGAAATCTGCTGCTGCTCACTTTCTCGCGAGGACACCGAGAATGTAGGGTTTGTGAGAGCCAATTTCTTTCATGACTAATGAGGTGTAAACTTTTCTTCAGTTCTCCTCATAAGGGGAGAGTGATGTACTCATTTCAGAAATCATTTTTCAATGGCCGATTCTACACTCGAAAGTACGGCGCTTATTTTCTTCTGTCCGCCTTGCAACTTGAAATTCTGTGCAGCTGTTCATTTTCGTTCGTATATTTTGTTTCATGGTTTTGCGCCAAGTTTGTCTTCTTGAAAACACCACCGTTAAGCTCTTTTAAAGGTGCGACGCAATGAACCGCATCCTGATATGTATGTTTTCCATTTCCTATGTACGATTAACGTTGGAATGCTATTGTTCTTTACAGTTACGTTGTTTTTCGATGTTGGTGATATTGTTCTAAGGGTGATAATTCACAGTGTATCTTTTGCAGCTCGCTAAATTTTCAACTAACCTTATTCGGTATCTTTCTCATTGAGGGCAAATTCAATTCTCATTTGTAGATATAGATAAAGATATTCATATGAAATATAGATACGAAAGTTCAATCTGTTTCACGGGTCGGTGAATTCAGACACGCCCCAGTTTCCCTTGCAACTAATCACGGTGCCCGCAGAGGTAATCAAAGGAAGCGAAACGAAGAGTATGCAACCATGGCTTAAATATTGGCTTTGTAGGCGGAAAATCGGCGAATGTTATTTCACCATCATGATGGGATTCAACGTTCGATCGCTTTGTAAGGACTATCCCGATGGCTAGAAAAGTGGCAGTTGGTAGGCAGAGAACTACTGTGTGAGAAGGTCGCAGCACAGCATTTGCGGGGAAAAGAGTCGGCGGCAACCATCATGGACCTGGGACACCTGTATATTCGGGAACCCGGAAACAGTAGGAAAGTAGTTCAGGGTCAAATTAGCAGATTCAGATAGTGCGAGGAACGCGCTTTGTACTGATATGTAAAGTAGTGGCAGTGTTCCTAAATTAATTCGAAATGAATCGTTCAAAAGTGAGCAACTAAAACAGCGGAATCTTTCCGAACGGCCCAAATATGTACTTGACGGTTAGTTTGTTTGAGTTTGAGTGACTTGAAGCAATGAGAAATAACGGCAGACAGGTGTTGTCAAGATATAGAACTGTAAATAGATGAAAAACAAATTACAATGTCATAAAAAATAAATCGTGAAAAATCTCTGAGAGTAGTAAATAAACTTGCGTGCATCAGGGCAGTGGGGGGAGAAGGCACTAAGAGTGAGCATTGACGGAAAGGCACGAATGCTAATAATAATGATAGGAATTACTTGCGCACCTCGCACAACCCTTCTCCTCTGAGGATGAGGGTTAGTCCTCGAACTGAGTTTTCCCATCCCGTGAATCCGATGCAGTGTAATGAAAGAAAAAGCTGTCACAGCAAGCGGAATCACTTTAATGTTTGCTTCCCATAAATGTGGAACTACAGCAAATTCGTCGCTCCAATCGACAAATTCCAGTGTTGCGCGCCCATCGAAAAACTGCCGCGTCACGACACCGCGCAAGTGGGCCGCGCGCGACGCCACTCCCGGCGATTCTGTTGCACGCCCCCAAGCACACGGTGACCCAAACTTTTTGGTTAGACATAATACGCATTCGTCCACAGACCACGTTTATAGCTCATGATACACTAGCACAACTCAGTCGTGCCACTAGTTGCTCCACTGAACCATGAGGCGAAGTCAGAAATACTTGAACAGACATAGGTCTAATCACTGGAATCCTTCCACTGTTCGAATTATCCGCAAGATTTTTTGTGTAGTGTTTGTTTTGTGTTTTTGAATCCAAGTGTTTTTGGATCCTTGGTTTAGTAGACATCTGTCTATAAAATAATTTGCCAGGGCTCTCCAATCTATTTATTGGAAGTTAGAGGACTGTGCTTTATAGAAAAACTATAAATTCTATACCAGTTGATCTTCAACGGGAATTTGATATAACAACAGGTGAACACTTCGATCTTCCTTTTGCATGTTGCTTGATTGTTCGACTTACTAAGAGCTGTGTTTATCGTCGGCTGTGTCGGTGGCGAATATTTTTATAAAAATGCTGGGTTAAGAACAAAACTTTCGCCCCAGGCGAGACTCTGAAACTGGTTTCAGCTAAACCTGCTCCATGAGGGACCATGGACCATAAAGATGTTGCTCAAAAGCTAGAAGACTGGGGTCTTCCACATTCAAGGTTACCCATCCTAGGAAACTACCCCACTACAAAATTAATGGAGAAATCAGGTAGCTGTTTCAGGTTGGGGCAATATATTGTAGGCCACCTTCGACGGCGATAGGCGATGAGTTGATCTATTCGAGAAGGAAGGGTGAGCAGCAAATGAAGGAGAATTGCTTTCTCTTTAGAAGTATTTCTAATATATTAGCCGTAAGAGTTCACATTAGCGGGATCAGGTGTGACAGACGTGTGACCGAGATAGGCACATGTTAAACAAATTATGTATTGGGTTGCGAAATAATGGACTACTATAACCAAGTCGTTTTTTTTAGAATAAAGACAATTAAGCAGTATTAGTCCCGTTATTATCGATGACCTTCATATATTTCACTGGTAACTTTCGATTTCGTTTCTCGATCCCATTTTTCCGTGGATTGCTACTGAAGAAGTTGCCCGCTCCGTTTTGAGTTGCTCCTTATTGTCGAATTGCTTCTCACTTAGATGCCGCTTCAATTCGGTTGGATGCAGTAACCTTTCCCACAGACTCCGATTTTCCTGACGCCTGTCATGTTGCGATGTGGGCGAGGGGCGTTTTTTTCGTGCAGAAGTTCCAGTCGTTTTGGATACTTGTGAAGGATTGCATCGGCCACCTTCTGTAGTTGGTTAGAGTACATCGTCGGTGTCACAGTTGTGCCACTTTCCAAGAATTCGTAGTAGAGCATCCATCACAATTTTCACCAACATATAAGAACCTTCTCCTGCAAACCACGTTTCGATTGCTTCGGTGGCACTTCGCCCTTTGGCAACCACACTCTCTTGCGGGTATCATTTACGTACAGGACCCAGCTTTCGTCTCCTGTCACTATTCCATTCAACAAATCCTTTCTGTGCGGACGAAGTAGCAATGACTCGGCAATGCTAACACGACAGGCCCGGTCCGATTCGCGGAAGTTCGTGAGGCACCCATGTCGAAAGAATTTTGCGGAAGCCAAGAGAGGCAAGGCGATCGCTGACGGTTGATTTGCTAGCCATGTTCGGCTTTGAGATCAAAGCGCTGCGTAAATCATCATCTTGAAGAGTTGATGGGACGTCCAGGACGTTCCTGTCCTTCGAAAGAAATATCGCCGGACTCGAAGCGGTGATACCAGCGACTAACAGTGGAATGGTGAACATCTTTCTTGAATGCAGTGCAGATGTTATTAGCTGCTTCTATTGCAGAACGTCCTTGTATGAACTCATACGATGGGTCGAAGGATACTCGGGCTTGTAGGATCCATAGTTGCTTTTCAGTTCAAGAGGGAGCCCTTTTATAATATTTCGCAATACCAGTCAAGCGACTGTCGAATTCAAAGTGTCGCAGGATTTTCTGGACGACCCAATAATGTGCATAACCACAAATTGTCGATTTAGTGTAGCGAGTCTTTAGGGCATCGTAAAAAGGTTTATGCTAGTTGTAAGCGATTGCGAAGCTAAAAAGCAACATCACTGTCGCCACCCTACAACTTTGGCCACTTCGAGTTTACTGTCACCCTGAAGGTAAATTTTAAAAACTAAGTATTATATTAATAAAAGTGTTTATGTACGATATTACACCAACATCATAATGTTGATTTAAAAGACAAATTATCATAAAAAATGGAGTTTGTGACATGAAGAAGGGACAGCCCTCATTCTTTTTCTTTTAAAATTAGTTCGCAGTTCCAATATTGCTAAAAATGAAAAATAGTCACCTTAAACGTTTGTATGAGGATTTTCAGACCGGAAAAGTGCTGAGTGAGCTTAAAAAGACGTAGCACACAGATCATTGAGAGGAAATCAATTGTGACTAGAGATCCTGAAAATGACGATGTTTCAGAATGAAATCATAATTAGAATACAGTTTTAGCATTAGCACAGCGTTTGTAGGCGCTAGAATGAATCCTCATTTTGTCTCCTGAGCGACCAAGTGGTTTCACATAGCACTGGTATAGTAACAGTAATGTGTGCAGTTCAGTGACCAACACCCAGGGTGGAGTTCAAAATGCAATCGTATAAGTAAAATAGCTTCAAATAAACTAACTTAGCTCACCAGTTTGTATGAGAATAGCGTGGAGCAACCACTCGAAATAGAATGCCGACGTTGAGATTACGTCGATGACCGTAAGTGGTGAGCGAAGGAAGCGTCGCATTGACGGGCAAAACAGTAGACGAACAAACTGAAAAGAAACATTGCTACGAGAATGGCCTGGTAGTACTGAGAAGCTTAAAATTTTTTTGCTGTAATATGTATTTTAATGTATTTCTATTTATTTGATTTCTATTAATATATTTCTATTTAGTACATGAGCTCGACGTTCGATAAATCTTGGCATCGT